TTAGATAGGGGAAATCTTGGAGGATGAGCCTATTACGCTTGATTTCAAGCGTAAAATGATTACGCTTGAAAACAGGGGGTAGTAACTACGCTTTAGTTTTACCTGTGTTGGCCGGAGAACAAAAGTTATGAAGATGTTTACTTTTTCTGCCGTTTTAAGTGTCTTTTTTTTGCTGTAATGACCGAACTTATTTAGATAGAAAGCTGCATTTTGGTGTGCAAACAGACAGACAGACACACGGATAGAAAAAACCTTTCCAACCCCACCCAAATAACTGGCTTCGCTATCACGCAGCCAATAAACAACAAGGTCGGTGGACGCCAGACCGCGTCCTGTCGCAACCTACTCTACAAATCGAAGAGTGTACATGGTATGCTCTAACTGGAGCATGCCTGCAAGCACGCTCTAACTAGCGCATGCCTGCCAAGCATGCAATTACTAGCGCATACATGCCATGTACACGCTTCCTGATGCAGACAACTCCCTATCCCTTATGCACTAGATGTATGCTTCAGTTAGCGTGTACATGGCATGTATGCACTAGTTAGTGCATGCCTGGCAGGCATGCGCTAGCTAGAGCGTGCTTGCAGGCATGCTCCAGTTAGAGCATACCATGTACACTCTTCGATTTGTAGAGTAGCTTCGCAATGCTGCTCCAGTTTCGGCAATTCGCGTCAGGCTTTTACCCGTATCTTCACCTGTGGCGCTCGCTTGGTAAAATATCAGTTTTTTTTTGTTTTTTTTTTTTAAATTTTACAGTGGGATCTATTTTGAAGCGAGTAACATTTTTACCTGAACCTTCCTTTAACAGCTGTCGTCCTCTGCCGCGTTTTTTTTCTGTCGAATGGGTTACGATAAAAAGATAAAATTTTGTGTTTGGCGTGACACTCTTGTGTTGACCCCCTTATTTGGCAGGGCGGAGAACAGCGGACGATTTGCTTGTACAACTTACAGCCCAGAGGGTGACGGCGCACAGCAGAACAACGCAGACCCTGACCATCCTGTGCAATATGCCAGCACAACCAAAATGTCCCCTTATATAGCACCCCGCTCAAAAGACGCGCACTTCGTGGATGCACGTGGAACACGACTCCATTAGCGTCACTCACGAAGAGCTGATAGGATTGCGTCAAACGCATTCGCTGTGTAGTGTGCGAAGTGGCATTTTTCAAAGTTTTATTTTTCTACTCGAATCAAATGTTATGTCTGTTCCTTCTTCGAACCCGATTCGAGTCGAAGCCATAAAAAAACACGAATAAACGAAATCCGTGCCAGTGAACTTCATTTGTCTGCGACCTTGCTTCACTCCTGCCACACTGGTAAAACTAAAGCGTAACTCTATGCTTGAGTCAAGCAAAAAGTTACGCTTGAAGACGTTACGCTTGAAATCAAAGCATAGGCTAGAAATTCCCCCCAAGCATTTAGATAGGGGAAATCTTGGAGGATGAGCCTAGTACGCTTGATTTCAAGCGTAAACTGATTACGCTTGAAAACAGTGGGTAGTACTACGCTTTAGTTTTACCAGTGCACGATACCGCCTCTCTGGATTGAGCCTCGAGCACGGCACGGGATTTGAAAATTTGTCACATGTGGCTATGGTCTGTACCACATTCAATGATTTTTAATTTAATTTTCAAAAGACAAAAATAGAAACAATTTTTTTAACCAATTTTTTCGCGCTTTCATGGCTGCTGCACTCTAACCTGGGAGGGGTCATTTTGTGACACCTTCGTGGTAATAGGGGAGCCGTCTAGGATCCGTCCGCAAGGCCTGCGGCACCGGGCCCCGACCAGTTTTAGCCAATTTTCGTCGCGATTTTGGTAGAAATCGTAGAACATAAACTCAAACACCATTAAGCTCCGCTTTCTACTAAGAATCCAATGCCGCATGTTCCAAAAACTCGAAAAGGCTCGTTCGCAAATTTCTATTTTGTCGGGATGTTCATTTTTTGGCTGAGCGATAGCGAAGCCCTTGCCGTGTTTGGGGGCGCCGAAAGGCGGCTGGTCGTGCGTCTGTCCTCCGGGCGGCCGGGGGGAAGGGGCTGGGGGTGGGGGGAGGGGGGTCGTCATGAGGCTAACATTTTAGGTTTCACTGCGCCTAAACCGCTGGACCGATTGAGTTCAAATTTTGTGGGTAGTTACCTGTTAGGTAGGACTTAACTTTGCAGGTGTTAAATTTGACCCCCACCCCCTTAAACGCCCCCACCCCCCTAAAAACTATGTTGACCATTTTTTGCTTCTGTACGAGCCACATGAGGTGCTGTGCAAAAATCAATCGTTTCGGTGGGTGGGGGCAGCCTCCAAGAACGACCCCTCCAAATTTCAGCCCGATACTACTAATAGTTTTTGTCTGAGATACTTAAATGTGATAGGACGTGGTGCCAGCATTTTGGCGTTTTGTCTGTCTGTCTGTCTGTAGCGTACACGCTCACGTTTCTCAGCAACTACAACACAAATAGTTACCAAATTTCGCATCGAACATCTCCTCAATCTCCTACAGGGGGAGTTTATCTCTGATTAACGATAAGTATCGTTTGAAATATTCAAAACATCGTTTTGACCTGTAGGTTATTCGCGTCGTTGAGTTGGCAGCAGTGAGTGGCTGACCAATTTCTCATACCTGCTGCCGCGCTTGCTAGCCGTCTGCAAGACGAGACGGCACTTCTGTAAATAAAACAAACTGAAGAGCAAAGGGGCTCAAATAGGTTCTGAGTTAGTTTTTATAACGTTCAAGAATGATTGAAACCCTTCCGGAGTGTCAACATAGGAAAATACGAAAATTGAAAGTGAGATTGGTTTGCGTGTTTCGTTCCCCTCTCCCCCTTCCCCCGTCGCAGGGGAATCTGCCTTCAGGTCAGTGCACTGTGAGTGTAGTTGTGGATTGTAAATAGAATGTTTTCTTTGCATTCCACTTTGTGCGCATCTACTGATTTTATTTGATCTGATACTATCCTTATTTTTTAAATTTCATAGTAAATCAAATCAGGTAAATTCATGAATAACTTCTGTTGAAATTGGAAGACATGTGAAATGTCTTGGTTTGACTCGGGAAATGACATTCTATTGCAATGCTGCAAGCTAACATAAATATTCTAGTTCTAACATCTATTGACTAAAAGAATCCATATATAGATGTATTTAGTGCAATAAATAATCCATCTATTTAGAGCTAACAAATTTTGAATTGATATTGGGCGCAATGAGACGATTCAGGTTTTGAGCGTTAGGTGACTTGGTAATCTGATTTAATGAGACGATTCCTCCCACTTCACCAAAATGTGTGTCCGATAACTGGAACTAAGTATTGGTAATGGTTTAAAAGCTGGCTCTTTGAGCGTAAGCCCAATGCCCAATGTTAATACCATACTGTCATCTTTTACTCCAAAGATAAAATATCACGAGACATGAACAAGATAAATTATGTTGGAGTATTGAGCAACAAGTGGCCTCTGCATTACACTTCATGAGACGATTCACTGAATTTGACAAAACTTGGTCTCCGTCGAATGCTTCAGATCAGCCTGCCCTAAACTGAGTCACTTCGTATAAACTATGATCACATATTCCAGTCCATATTATTTAATTCACTTGTTTGAAATGAAAGAATGACAAAAGGCTTCTCAAATATAACTAATAAACTTGTGAATTCATTAGTTTGAAGAAAAAGCTATATCGAATAGTGACTCAAGCAGACAAGAAGTCAATTAAGCGATTCAATGCTGGCAATGGAATGTTACTCGACTGAAGGAATCGCATTGGTGTGGCATTAGGGAATTGGTGACGACAAAGGGTGATCCATGAAGACCAACCCAGACCCGTACATTACCCATAATTAACCAATTTTATATTAATACGTTTCAATTGAATTTGATTCTTGCAGTTTTTAGGGGTGCTGATTATGAAAACCACTTTCATTTCTCTACTCCAGACTTGTATTTTCATCCCAAATTAGGTCATTTTGGACCAAACTTTTCAAATCGAGTTTTATATTGTTTCCTGCAGTTTTTGGTGTGCTAAACTCAAAAATGACCTCCAAATTTTTCCCAGACTCACGCTTTACCTAATTTTGACCAATTTTGGACCAAAATTTTTGAATTGAGTTTGATGTTGATTCCAACAGTTTTTTGTGTTCTGATAACGAAAATCACCCCCATTTCGACTCCAGACTTATATTTTCATCCCAAATTAGGTCATTTTGGACCAAACTTTTCAAATCGAGTTTTATATTGTTTCCTGCAGTTTTTGGTGTGCTGAACTCAAAAATGACCTCCAAATTTTTCCCAGACTCACGCATTACCGAATTTTGATCAATTTTGGACCAAAATTTCGGAATCGAGTTTGACGTTGATCTCAACATTTTTTTGTGTGCTGACAACGAAAATCACTTCCAGTTATACCCCAGACCTACATTTCACTCAATATGAGCCCACAAACTGCGCTTTTCGTCTACTTAAGCAAAGTCCGAAGTGCACAAACTCGCATCGCTCAGCCACACTACGCGCCCACTCTAAACGGCGCGTACCCCTAGTTAGAAAACCAGAGTCAGTGTATTAGCATTTTGTTGTTCTCGCCACGTCAGGCGGGCAGTGCTGGTCTTCCTGGTGGCCACGGAGCGTCAGGGCCACGCTGGCGTCGTTCAGAGCGCCGCCAGCGCTTAACCCCAGTAGGCGGAGCGCACGTACGGGGCTGCGGGTGTTGAGTAGTCATAGTCATGTTGGCAGCCATGTAACCAGAGCCTTCTTTGTACCAACCGAACACAGAATAAACCAGTTCACGTTTACGTCTTGACTTGCTCACTTCCTTGAGAATCTACATCCGTTCCCATCTTGACAACATGGCGCAGTCTTTGGAAAAGATGATGAGCGAGAGCTGAAGGGGAAAGTCCTGAGTAAAAATACGTATAGTGAAAGTGAACTCGTGAACTCCAGTGAAGTGAATCTAGGCCGGGACCCAGCTACGGCAGAAACCAGATAACCTCGGCAACCACGTGGAACCAGTGAAATGGCGCACCAAGCAAACATTCCCGCACCATTGGTGCTGGAAGGTGATGTCCCGAGTAACTTGGAAAGATTCCACAAAAGCTTCAAGATATATTTGGGAGCGTCCACAAGAGAACTGTCCAAAACGGCCTACGACGGGTTGACTGCTGAGGAGAAGAAAGAGTAGAACAACTCAATTGGCAAGTTACTCCTCAACATCGCGGGTGAAGAAGCCACTACAGTAGCAAGTACCTTCGGGCTGTCAGATGAAGATGAATTTGACTACTTGAAGCTCGTAGAGAAATTTAAAGCCTACGCAGCACCAGAGGCGAATGAAACTTACGTGAGATTCATATTCAACAGAACAAAACAGCAGGAGGGTGAGACGTTTGATCATTTCCTCACTGAAGCAAAGAAGAACATCAAGAACTGCGGATTTGACAAACTGGAAAACTCACTGTTGAGAGATAAAATAGTGGAAGGAATTCGAGACAAGAATCTACAGCAAGCACTACTGAAGAACAACAAATTGACTCTTGAAGTTGCCATCAATGAGTGTCGAGCCGCTGAGATTAGCAAGAAGTATTCAAAGAAGATGCAAGAAACTGAGGTTGCTGAAGTTAATGCAATAAGATTCAAGAGCAAGAAGAAACCACCAGTTATGACTAACTTCAAGCAAAAACCAGAAGAAACCAAGACCAACTATAAAGAAGAAAAGTGCAGACGCTGCGGGTATCAGAGACATGCATACAACAAATGCCCGGCAGTGGGGAAAACCTGTGCAAACTGTGGAAAGCCAAATCACTTTGCAGCAATGTGTGATCCAGGGAGGCAGACAGTTAGAGCTCATGAGATCCAAACCACAACAGCAGGAGCTGAGGACAGTGAGGAAGAATATCAGGTGTTGTTCAGTGACTGTGTTGAAACTGTTGAGACGAGCGCTGTAGCAGAAGTAAACAGTGTTAGTCTCAAAAAGGAGTATCGTCAGAGAGTGAAAGTTGAGAATACTGTGATTAACTTCAAGCTAGATCCGGGATCGGCATCCTCAATATTGTCTAAAGAAGTGTTTGACACACTGAAGATCAACAAGCCATTGAAGAAGTCCAACATAGTAGTCAAGCCGTATGGGAATAACTCTCCAGTGATCACAGTGTTGGGTCAAATCTCCCTTAAGTGCAAGGCAGGAGGACAAGAACGTGATGTTGAATTTCTCATAACTGATGACAGAGACAGATCTTTGTTTGGCATCCGTGACTGTGAAAAGTTTGGTATGATAGAAAGGAAAATACTAGAAGTCGACTCAAACCAAACAGAGAGTCCACCAGAAGAAAGAGAAGAGTTCATCAAGAAAAACGAAGATGTATTCAAAGGTATTGGCAGCTTCCCGGGGACTCATCCGATTCTGATTCGTCCAGACGCCCAGCAAGTGATAAGACCTGCAATAAGGAGGCCCAAGGTGATCAACGACAAGCTGGTACCAGCACTACAGAACCTTGAAGCTGCAGAGATTATCGCCAAAGTAGAGCACCTGACACCAGAATCCTGGGTAAGCAACATTGTTGTAGTTACCAAGCCGAATGGAGACATTAGAATCTGTCTAGACCCAGTAGATTTGAATATGGTGATAATCAAAGAGCCATAACTTATCCCAACAATAGACGAAATCAGTGAAAAATTATGTCATCAGAAATTTTATACTGTCTTTGATCTGAAGGACGATTTCTACCACATAGTATTGCAAGAAGAATCAAGCTTTAAGTGCTGTTTTGCAACACCTGTTGGAATTTACAGGTTTAGACGCTGCCCGTTTGGATTGTCCTGTGCCCCAGAGCTGTTCCAGAAGCTAAATGACCGAATCTTTGGAGAATTGAAGAACACAATCCGCTACTTTGACGACATCCTGGTCTACGGGAAGAGTGAGCTGGAACATGATCAAGCAGTGAGCGCAGTCATCCAACGAGCACGAGAGAAAGGAGTGAAGTTATACCCCAAGAAATTGCAGTACCGACTAAAATCAGTAAGGTACGTGGGTCATGTGTTCAGTGAAGAGGGGAAGGCCCTTGATCCAGACAGAGTGAAAGCAACATTACAATTAGACCCACCTAAAGACAGAGAAGGATTACAAAGGATTTTGGGGACATTTAATTACTGTAGAGATTTCATCCCTCAAATGAGTGCACTGACGGAGAACATGAGAAGACTGTTAAAGAAAGATACTGTGTGGAACTGGACAGCAGTTCATGACAAGGAATTTGAGACACTGAAGGCCATTATGTCCACAGCTCCTGTCCTCGCCAACTTCGATCCGGAAAAGAAGATCATCATCCAGTGTGATGCTTCGCAGTCAGGACTTGGATGCTGCCTGCTACAGGACTCACACCCAGTGGCCTTCGCATCAAGAACTTTGAATGACAGCGAACACAACTATAGCGTCAGTGAGTTGGAGCTACTTGGAAGCACGTTCGCATGTGACAGGTTCCACAACTTTGTGTTTGGATACGAGATTGAACTTCAAACTGATCACTTGCCACTAGTGCCAATGATGAAGAAAGAAATTCACAAGCTAGGGTCAAAGACGCTACAGAGATTGAGGCTCAAACTGTTGAAGTATCGAATAACGATGGTCCATGTTCCAGGAAAGCTGATGTATATGTCTGACATGTTCTCACGAACAGCCAAGCAGGTGGTACCAGATGATGGGTCGTCAATCGAAATGGTACACAGCCTGTCAATGTCCTTGCCAATCAATGACAAACTGAAGAACGACCTGGTGAAGGCCACAGCAGAAGACCAAACAATGCAGAGTGTAATCAAGTGCATCAGAAGGGGCTGGCCAAAGCATATGGGACAACTGGCTGACTCTGTAATGCCCTACTTCAAGGTGAGAAACGAATTATTCATTGAAGAAGAAATTGTGCTGTTCAACGACGATGGAGTCTGCAGGATAGTGGTCCCCTCTACAATGAGGAGTGCAGTACTGAAACTGGTCCATGCTGGGCACATGGGTGTCGAGAAGTGTATGTCAAGAGCACAGGAAATTTGCTATTGGCCCAACATGCAGGATCATGTCACTGAGTATGTGCATGCTTGTCCGGTTTGCTGCAAGTTTCAACCCAAGCCAGTGAAGCACCCGATGAAGCCACACCCACAACCCAGCTTGATGTGGCAACGAGTATCCATGGACTTTGCATCATTTGGGAAACAAGATTTTCTAGTCATCTACGATGCTTATAGTAAATGGCTTGAGATTCAGAGGACTCCAGACAAGACAGCTGCATCAGTGATAGACACATGCCGCACAGTGTTTAGCACTCATGGCAATCCTCAGTACTTGGTGTGTGATAATAATCCTTTCAACTCTTTTGCCTTCAAAAGTTTTGCAAAGGAGTGCAACATGGAGCTTGTATTCACGAGTCCACACCTACATCACAGCAATGGGAGAGCCGAGAAGGGAGTGGCAATAGCCAAACTCATCCTGAAGAAAGCAGCAGAAGAAAGAACAGACTACAGGGAGGCACTCAAGGAGTATCGCAATACTAGGATTGCGTCTATGGGATACTCCCCAGCACAGCTCATGTTTTCTCGGAAGTTAAGAACTGTTCTGCCAAGCTCGGTGGAGGATCTTAAACCCTCTATCCCCAAGAATGTACCTGCCAAGCTGAACGTCCAGGCCATGAAGACCAAGAAATGGTACGACAAGGCAGCAACAAGACCAGAATGCAACTTTCTGCCAGGACAGTCGGTGCTAGTCAGCCTGGGTGAGAAGAACGAGACCTGGAAACCAGCAACTGTCGTAGCCAAGTGCCCAGAGCCAAGGTCATACATTGTGAAGTGCAGCAACGGGTCACAAGTAAGGAGATCCACAGCACATCTGAGGCCTAATCTGACCTGCGGCAGAGACAATGACGAAGAGTTTGAGCTCCTGGTAGATATACTCAGAAGAAACACAACCATTAGCACACCTGCAGAGAACGCCCAAGAGAGAGTCCCAGTGCCCAATGTGACTGAGAACGCCCAAGATAGAGCCACAACTCCTATCGTGACTCAGAACGCCCAAGTGAGAACCCAGCCAGAAACTGTCAGTAACCAGGAATCAACTTTCCAAATCGTGGTCCCACCCTGGTTATATAGTAATCAATATGTAACTCGCTCTGGTCGATCTGTTAAACCTATTTCTAAAGTTAAGGCTTGTAAATAAAGTGTCACCTTGTCATAGGCTATTTGTATATGTGTACCTGTCACTTCAAATAAATTGTTAAGTGTATAATCATGTGCAGCAAGTTGTGTTGGTGTTGACGTCTGCGTAAAGTGATTGTATAGTTTGTGTGATTGTGTTAACAAAGTGTCGTGGTCTGTAAATAATGTAAATAAACAAACCAAGTGTAAATATAGGTTAATGTCGCAGAGCTTCTGCTAGTGTATGTGACCAATGTGTGTTCGCAACATGTAAAATGTCTGTCTGCAATAGTTTCTGTTTTAATAACAATATGGCTGCAAATAGTTTTATTAATCAACTTATATCAATTTTAACTTCAAAAATGTTTTTAATAAAGTGTTTTAAATTACAAGACAGTAAAGGAGGAGGAGGGAGATGTTGAGTAGTCATAGTCATGTTGGCAGCCATGTAACCAGAGCCTTCTTTGTACCAACCGAACACAGAATAAACCAGTTCACGTTTACGTCTTGACTCGCTCACTTCCTTGAGAATCTACATCCGTTCCCATCTTGACAACAGCGGGGGCGTAGGCGGCCACGGGGGCGGCGTAGGCCACGGAGGGAGCGTAGGCGTAGCTGGAGTAGGCGGGGGCGTAGGCAGCGCCGGAGTACAGGACCTGGGGCTGGGGCTTGGGCTCGGCCTGGGCCACGGCGGCCAACACCACGAGGAGGAAGACGACCTGCAAGAGCGGCAACGGCAACAAGTGTGACTCCCAGCCAGCCGGCACCCGTTTTATACTCGCCGGATGGTTGCCAGACCAGGCGGGGAGATGAGGCTACGTCATTGTGATTGTGGGATAGACACTAATAGAGGCACTAGCCAAATCTCAAGTTTAAAATACACAGCTACTCTGGTTGGAGTCGCTTCGTTTCGCAATCTGAGTCCCAAAGCGTGAACACCGGTCTAAGGCACTGCCTGGCCCGAGGCGAGGGTGTAACGACTGGTAAACTACTGGTTACCCAGGTTACATCGATTACAACAAAAAAATTTCTGGACATCCTGGTTGCACAGCACAGGATTATCCCGGATCCCCTCCAAATGTCAGGTTGTCCGGATTACGGATAAAATATTTGCTGTCAGCTGGATATCCGAAGTCTACCCCCTCGCAGTCACCTGTCCAGAATCGGCGTGCGATTTTGGTCTAGCCTTTTAAGTCAAGTCAATTGACCTGCACGCATAGCATGCTTGCCGTCTATTCTGGCACTCGAACACGCTGAATGTTTATTGTTTATGTATTGTGCTAGATGTTGCAGTTCTGGTGAAGGGGGACTTTTCATACATATGAACGTCGTCCTTAAGGCCGTCAGAGTCTTTTCACGACCTGTACAAGCGAAAGAAGTATGTCTTTGGACATCCTTTAAATTTTGCCTAGAAGTCCTGCCACACTGCCGCGGAAGTCAGAGTCCTGGTTGGCTATGCTCTCCTTGGAAAAACGAGAGACATTTTTCCATACTGTGACTGGAAAAAAGTGGAACGCAGTGGTCGGCACTTGGTACCCGACTCCAATTCTTGCTCAAATGGGCCGTGCCGAAACGGCTGAAACCCACACTGCGAAATAAGGTATGTCTCTCTCGCGGAGAACTCCATACTTTTAATGCGGAGATGTGGTATTTTCAGTCTACGCGTTTAGAAGTGCAGAGTTTGCGGGGTTATGCCAAGAGAAAGGGGCTCCGTGAGGTAACCAACACTTAGGGTTTTGAGACTGCAAACTATACACGTCCAAGTGTGAAGAGGTACCCGCACCAAGCCGTGCGGAGTTCATTGCACTTGACCTTTCCGTGATAAATCTTCTTAAGGGGGCACACCAGTGAAAATCGTCAAATTTTAAGGTAATTTTTTATTTCACCATATTTTTTGTACAATTTTGTAGTTGTTTTGCGTCCGCACTGAACAAACCGTCCTCACCGTCATCCTATAGAGAAAAATACGATTTCAAGAAATCCTAGGAGTCACGAAGTCAATTTGATTATTGTGTAAGAGTGTGGAGAAAGAAAAGAAGTGGTGTTGTGAAGTTGTGGCTCAGGGGACTACCAATGGCAGTGGTACCAATGTGGTCGATGTGCCACCCGTCGATATTTAAACTTGACAATAAATAGAAATCAAAATGCTGGTAAATTCAAAAAATTCCAATGCTAATGTATTCCGCAGTGTTCTGACAATGGGACATCTTTAAAGTCCATCATTATTAAAATGTTCTTAGCAGAAAGAAGGCAGTAAATTAATTTTCACGGGTTGGCAACAATCTTCTCGGCGTCTGCGCCCTTGCGAAAATCGCGAAGCTGAAAGCACCAGCAGTCGCGCATTAAAACTGCCCCTCCATTGTTGCTGACGTTGAATTGTTTGGCTTGTTTCAAAAGGCTATGGTTCTCTAGTCATGTTTTCTTCAATTCTGTGTAATAGTTCTCACTCACAACGTATTAACACCACGACGGTTGGTTTGACAAACTTCATAAACTCGGGAGGGAAGGTTTCGAAACGCGGGTGAGTCTTGTTCGAGGAACATGAGCACTGCAAGTCGCGAGGTGGAGCGAAGTGGTCCTAGTGCTAACTGAATCACAACAACAACAAAATTGTTTTATTGACAGAAAAAAAAGTGATATCTGAGAAACTTTATGTCAGAAAAAAAGAACTTTTGTATTGCTAATTTTTTGTGAACATTTTTTGGCTGAGCGATAGCGAAGCCCTTGCCGTGTTTGGGCGCGCTGAAAAGTGACTGTTCGTGAGTCTGTCTGTGTGTTTGTACTCACCAACGATTCTCAGCAACTACAGTGGCTATAGTTTCAAGATTTCGTATTTAACGTCGCCTTAGTACCCCCCAACACGAGTTTGTTTCAAATCGTTGTTTAGTATCGTTTGAAATATTCAAAACATACTTTTGAATCAGGTTATTAGCATGGTTAGGTTGGCAGCACTGAGCACTCACGAATTTCTCATACCTGCGGCCGTGGCTCTCAAATACGGGACAGAAGCAAATAAAACAAAATAACGAGCAGAAGGGTTTGGAAATGAGATCGGCCATAGTTTTTCCACATTCTAGAATGATTAAAACCCTTTTAGAGTATCAACACAGCGAAATATGGAGAATGGCAGTGAAAATGATTTACGTGTTTCGTTCCCCTCGCCCCCCCCCCTCCCCCTT